CCTCGAATCCCTGTGCGATGAATTACCGGTCGTTGTCAGTAACGAGGGTGTGAGGGATTCCGAATCTGCAAACAATACTCCTCCAGATGAACCTTTGCACATTTTCGGTGGTGATTTTTGAATTGGGCCTACGGCCCATTGAAAATTGGGCTGTTACACCATGCATTTTTGCACCGAGTTCCATGAGCCACCATCCACAAAAGACACCAAATTCTTTCTAGACCAGGCCAACTCTAAATCACCTTGAAAATTTTATCATGTGTTCCCCATGTATCATACGAATAGCATCACATGCTTTCTTAACAATTTACATTGTGTTTGGTTGTGAGGAGAGAAATAAGTGAGAATTAGGGTGGAGAGAAATAAGAGAGAAACAAGTAAGTAAAAATAGGGTGAAAATGAGTTTGTTTGGTTTAAGAGAAACAAGTAAGAAATAGAAGAGAAATAATATTATAATAAAGTTGTTTGATTTGAATAGATGGAGAGGAAAGAAATTATAATTAGAAAAAAAAATATAATTTTACCCTTTCAAATTAACTATGTAATATATAGAAGGTTTTTTTTTTTTTTACAATTCTTTTATTCAATTAAATTAAATTTTCACTTGAATACAACCAAATAAATAAGACACTAGAAGTTGTTTTTTCAAATAAAATTTGTATTTAATCGAATACACCCCTGTAACATGTTTTGTTGTTATTTTCAAAATATAATCCATGTTTTGTTATTCTTCAAAGTGTAATGAAAAAAGAATATAATTACTGTTTATACATTATTAATAAAGTGTATGACATAAAAATATCATATTTAATAAAGAGTTTAATTAAAATAAATAATAACGTATGCATAACATAGGTTCCACACATCATAATACAAATGTAAAGATGATTAAATTATATAAACAATAAAATTCAACCTAGTACCTAAAGACACACACATAAAACATAAACATAGACACATAAATCACAAGGTGCTCAGATGATCCATGCGAGTAAAGATTTTCAAGTCTTCAATCCTTTTGCCCAATTCTTCACACCTTGTGTCATCTTTTGTATCCAAGGCTTGCACACCGACTATTAAATTTTGTAATCTAGCTCGTAAGCCTTGAATGCCACCATAAATACAATTTAAAATATCATTGTTCTGGGAATAATGTAGTCCATGGTGGACATCATCACCCTGTCTTCACCCTCACCCTGATTTTCAACATCTTCTTTACCATATTGCCACAATTCATTAACATTTGTTATATTCAATTTGTTTAGACTACATTGCTTAAAATAATTAGTCAAAGTAGGTCTAATATCTGAATCTCCAATCATATTCATACCATGATTTTCCAGTATTTTTGAAATAAGTATAACATGTGGAAGGGATGTACCACTTTTTTTTTTTTTTGCATTTCTTCATGTGTTGAAATATGTAATATGACCAATTGATTGCAATCTTTTGTTTTATAACCCATAAAACAAATATGTCATCACTAGTAAGTAATGCATAGTTGCTTGGTTAGGGTACTAACGTGTGGACTAAAATATAATGCAACAATCTACCCTTCATAAATAAACTACATGCCCTTCTTAAGTTTAATCCTTGCACTCCTTGCCTAATCATTCCTGCCATTGGAGTGTTATGATCATATTTCTCACATTACTAAGGTTGACAATATCAAATTTATTCCCTTCATACATAAGATTGACAATTGTTAACCAATCAAGTGGCATAACTCGGATGTTGACATTTTTAACTTCTAAGTACATTACACCAACGTTGAAGATGATAATGTTGCCATAATAAACCTTCACTAAATTAGGAAAGTATGATTCACCAAGTGAAACAAAGTTTTCAAGCCCCTCATATTGTAAATAATGTTGAAATTGGAATCCATTGCTTTAAAAAAAATCCAGATTTATGATCTTTGGTTCTAAACATGCTCTTCCATAAAAATCAAGATAGTTATTTGTTTGTTTTTTAGTAGCAAAATGTCTTCCATAAATAAGTGTTTTTTGTGAGACAAATACTTAATTTTTCTCTTGAACTTTGGCAACATGTTTCTTTTACTTTCCACCCTTACTTTTTTTTTCTCTAGAGGTCCCTAACATTTCAAATAATCTGTAATAAAATGACAATTTCACACCATGTGTTTTAATAATGACACTTGGAACAATGAAATACAATTTAAACCAATAGCAATATAACAATAATAACAAATTGAAACATTAAATTACAGGACATAAGTAACATGATAGATTATTTTGAGCCATAAAACACCTATGTTAGAAAACCACCAAAATACATGAAAACCACCAATTACCACCACGTTAGAGAAATACATCATAAAATTAACCCATCACATGTCCTTCGAAGAAGACAGCCAAAATACAAACTATGAATTATAGCTTAATGTAACCCTACATTAGAAATCATTTTAAGTAATGCTTCAAGGTGCATCTTAGAAGGAATTCCAAACAACAAATTCTTGTTTGATTCATTGTTACACAAATACTCGTAACATGTCAACCTCTCAAAACATGATAAGCTCAATTCAATGAAAAGGTCCTAAACATATAACTTTGAATAAACACGACTAGTACTTTGCTTTATGATTAAAACCTGCTCGTTAATGACTTGGTTGCATTTTTCAGTAGCCATAGGCACACAAAAATTGTAACTTGTGTCTTTACAAATTTAGACAGTTTTTCAATCAAAGTATTCCCAATTATTAATGCTTCTACCATATGATCAATATCATTTGTCAACCTGTCCATTTGGTTTTCAGTGACATCTACCATTGGTGCCTTTCATTTTATCCCACAAGAACTAGAAGTCCTTATTAACTGATTTGATTATACATATCCTAGACTAAAAGATTCAACATTTGGCAAGGAATCATTATGATCAATAGATTTGGTTTCCTTATCCATATCTTTATGTATCTGCCTTACAGTTAAACCTTAAGTCTAGTAGCATGGTCAAATACATAAGGCTCCTTTAATAGATATCTAATTATGATATGTGAGTATGTTATTGATATGATTATATCTAATTATGATATGTGAGTATGTTATTGATATAATTATGAACTAAGTATGAGTTGTAGTGATGTGATCCTTTATGTAATTGATTGCTAATATTTAATTGATATAATTAAATTGTTAATTGCTATATTGAGAACAAGTGACAATTATATTATATGAGATTAGTTGACAATGAAATGATGCAATAATGTGATATGATGATAAGACATGTGATTTGTGAATTAATGAGATCATGTGAATTGTTATGCATAAAGTTTGTTGCTATGCATCATATGCATAAAAGTTTGGTACGATATGAAATAATCTCAATAAATATAAAAAAATAAATAATAATTAAACTATTATATTAGTAGAAAATTTGAGGTGTTACAAGGGACATCCCTTTCCTTTTCTTTATATGTCAATGTGATGCCATGTACATTTTTGTGTGATGACCTTTTTTCTTTATAAAAATTTGTAAATGTATTTTTATTCATCAAAATAAAAATATTTTTAATAAGAAAAAATTAAAGCAACCGAAACTGGTGCTTATCAACTTTTTTTGTTTGTTAGAACTTTAAACGTTATTTTTCAACTAATTGCCTCTATTTTTGTTTCAAAGAAGAAAAAAAGTCGTTTAAGTTTGGCGCCAATAATAGATTGCAAATTTGATGAGAAGAAAATTCTTACCTTTCAGCAACAGAACTTCAACTTATCTCTCATAAGAAGAGGATAATTATCTTGTCAGTGAATTATATAATTTAAAAAATAATTTAAACTTATAAAATCATCATTATAAAAGAAAAACTCTCTCTGCTTTTGTAAATTTAAGCAAAAGATTCTTCCCTTCACCTTTCTTTCCCTCTAATTTCCATTTTGTTCTGTGTGTTGTTTGAAAATGGCTTCGATAGTTCGCAACATCATCGGCATCATAGGTTCTTTCTCTCTCCTTCAATTGCAACTGCACATGATTTCACTAAATGAGAACTCATGCTATCAAGATAAACCTTCAATTTTGATCTAGAACAATACTAATAATGACTATAATATTTTATCTTAGTGTTTTCATTTAATTGATTAATGCATTAAAATTCATAAATAAAAGAGATGAAATAAATTATTTTGTTTGGTGCCTAATGATATCATGTTCTTTTGTGTTTCATCATTTATTCGTTCTGAATTCTCATCAGTCTTGCATTCTATGTGCAGGAAATGTAATCTCCTTTGGTTTGTTCTTCTCACCAGCGTAATTACACATTCTCTCTCTATCTCTCTCCCATTTGTATTTATTTATTTTTGTTGTGTGATGTATGTATTGTTGCATTGCTCGTTGCGGCTCTCGCTAATGGATCAAAGATTTTATACAATTTTTTTAACTGCATTAATTGTGGAGTGGAATAAATAGTAATGTATAACATTTTTAGTCACATGGTAATTAACAATGTTTTTAAGATTATGTGCATACTATCTTAACTCCTACCACTAGTCCAACCTTAGTGTTTCAAAAAAAGAAAGTTGAGTTAAGTTCTACATATTTTTAATTAATCAAAAATCCTTATCTGATATGATTTTAAAATTATCATATAAGACTATTTACGATTGAATCACATAACCAATTAAATTTTTTTACACACAGTGTGATTATTTATTCCAACATTTTGTGAGGTAGTTTCCTTTTCAGCTAACAATTATTGTATTAAGAAATTAATATCATCGATGTTTTGAATGAATTATTGTTTTGAATGAATTTTGTAGACCAACTTTCTATACAATTATAAAGAAGAAGTCAGTGGAGGAGTTCAAGCCTGATCCTTACATAGCTACGGTGTTGAATTGTGCGTTTTGGGTGTTCTATGGAATGCCTTTTGTGCATCCTCATAGCCTTTTAGTCGTCACCATCAATAGCATTGGGCTTGTGTTCGAGTTTGTATACCTTGCCATATTTTTAACCTATGCAACCACCAAAGGACGAGTGAGTATGCTTACTCCTTTGTTATTTATGCCATTACTTATTTGAAGTCCCAAAACTTAGTTGCTTAATTATTGAATTATGTACCCATTATTCTTGTTCTACCACTCACTGTCTCTCTTCCTTAATTTCAGAAGAAGGTGCTGCTTTATCTTATCATTGAGGTTATTTTCTTTGCTGCCATTGTTCTTGTAACAATGTTGGCATTGCATGGCACTACCCGAAGGTCATTAATAGTTGGTGTTGTGTGTGATGTCTTCAATGTCATGATGTATATCTCTCCTCTTACAATCATGGTACGTCCCGACTCTTGAATCTATATCACATAACTTACATTTTGTGGCGATACTTTGACATGTGAAATGCAGTCTATATTATACAAAATTTTCTTTCCAACAGGCAAAGGTTATAAAAACAAAGAGTGTGAAATACATGCCATTTTGGCTCTCTCTGACCAACTTCCTAAATGGGTTATGTTGGACATCATATGCTCTCATCTACCCTTTCGACCTCTATGTTCTGGTAATGATAGTTACTTCACTCTCTATCTTTTCTCTCTGTTCTCTATCATTGTATATTTTGAGTTAAACTTGTGTTAAGCATCGTGTCCATTGTATATTCTTGCAGATCAGTAATAGCATTGGAGCAGTCTCTGGACTTGCTCAACTCATACTATACGTTTGCTATTGTCATAGAGGAGAAAGCAATGTTGATAATGATGATGTCAAGAAGTCAAATGAGCTTCATCTCACCGCAGTTGAAAAATGTACTATAGAATATCTTAATCAAGTAACACCATATGTGCATATATCAGATAGTGTGAGATTGCCATGTTAGTTTCATGGAAATTAGAGTTGATGAGAGAAATTAAAAGCAAATAAATTAAAATAAAATTAGAGAGTAGTTGAAAAAAAAATTAAAAATAAAAATCATAGTTCACCAAACATTGACAAATGGTGATGAGTTCATTGTTTTTATATTACTATAGATTAATGATACAATTAATTTAGATTTTTTAATAACAAATACGTTTTGATTAATAAAAAGTAAAGTGGTAAAAGATATGCTTAGAAAAACATTTGCACATTTTATACATACAAATAAAAACTAAATCGCAAAGATGTATGCAAAAATGTGAATGAACATTGGAAGTCACTCTTGCAAAATTACACGATCAAATCCACTAATATCAGAACACTTATGTGGCCATATATAACATATTTCTCCAAGTAGTTTGTCTAAAAAAAAAAATATATGAATAATGTTCTTACTTCCATAAGGCATTATGTATTCCATGCATTTTAAGAGACATGACTATTAAGCGATGTTGACAATCTTACCGGTCGCACACAAATAGTTAATGGCAAATAAATATTATTTCTTAAAGAAGTTGTGTAATACACAACAATAAACACATTCATTACTTAATTTAGACTAAAGAATATTCTATTAATTGATATTGATTGATAAAAAGAATTAAAAAAATTATCTAAAAGAAAGATAATTTTTTTTTTGTTTGTATTTTCTCAAACACTTTGAAAGTGATTTAGATAAGAAATGATATGTTATGTGAATGTCAGGATTAGACTTCATTGAACTTCACTCCCATACATTTTATAATAACTCAAATCTTGTTTCATTTTTATTGTTAATGTCAACCCACTAATTTATTCAAATCCTAATTCCTTATAAGAAAGATCCTAAATTCTTTGATTAAGCATCAATTCCTTGAATACTAAATAAATAAACTTGCATTAATAAAAAAGAGTTTAAGACAATTAATGGATCATGTTCTATTCCTAAATACAAGCTTCATTAGGTATTTTGTTCTAGTTCAACATTACGAAAGATTTTTTTAATACTTAATGAATCAAATGTCAAGCTATATATGGTTGATCACTCCACAATAAGCTAGCGTTAAGTGGGCATTTGATAAGAGAGAAATTTTTTCACACCCAAGAATCATGATTCTTGGAAATTATAATAAATCTTAAGAATTATGATTCAGGTAAAATATGTTTGGTTACTTATAAAGGTTCCTAGGAAATTTCATATAATAATCTAAAAAATTAAAGATTTTCGTGTTTTGTTACACTACTATTTTCTTGGAAATATAAATATTTTCTACAAAAATATATTTTATTAAATATATTTATTTATTCAAATCTTATTACAAATATGATATTAAACTATTTTTAAAAAGTTAAAAATTTATAGTCAAATTATTTGAATCAGAAGTCAACCAAAAAATAAACAAAGAAAAATGTTACATAATAATTAAGAAGGATAAAAATATACATTTGATTTCGTTCAAATTAATTAATTAAAAAGTTTTAACAAATATTATTACATTATAAAAACAAAATAAACTTTAATAAAATTGATAACGTCAAGAAATAATAAAATAAAAGAAAGAAGGAGAGAAATAAAGATATGAGAGGGAGAGGGAAAGAGAGAATGGGATTGAGAGTGAGAGAGAGAAATAGAAATATAAGGAGAGAGGGAGAAATGGAGAAAGGAAGAGAAGGGGAGTGAGAGTGAGAGAGGGAGAAAGAGAAATATAAGGGGAGAGAGAGAGAAGAAAAAAAAAGAGAGAGGGAGAGAGAGAGAAAGACATAGAGAGAGAAAGAAAAATAGAAATGAGAGAAATTTTCTATTTTAAAAAAAGATAATGTGGTCTTTTTATATATATGCATTAAATTTTCTCCTTAACTCAAAAAAAAATAGATTCTCATCCCCATTCATGAGAATGTTTGTAAAAAAGTGAGATAAAAATGATTCTTGAGAAACTACATTCATGAGAATATCTTTCTTTTTTAAAAATAAAAAAACTACCAAACATAGAAAACTAAGATCCCACTTTAAGATTTCCAAGAATGTAAAAATATTCCACGTATCAAACGTTCCCCAAGAGTAAAATCAAAATACAAACATAGAAATGGAAAAATATATAACCTCAACAAGGATGAAATTAGCTCCTCATTCTAGCAACTTAATTTAAAAAAAAATTAATAAGAGTTTATTTAATTAATTGAGATATTTCTAGATAAGAAAAATAAAGATTTCAAAATTATCTATAAGATTTTTAAATATTGTCTAATCAGAAAGGATAAGATTTAGGTAATCAATTAATTAAGATATTTCTAGATAAAAAAAAATTAAGATTTCAAAATTATCTATAAGATTTTTAAATATTGTCTAATCAGAAATGATAAGATTTAGGTAATCAATTAATTGAGAATACTTTATTTTCTTATCAAAAAGGAATATTTCAATTTAATTAATTATTAAATTATAAGGAAAGGATAATTGATCGTGGTAATTGGTTTTTATCAACATATTAAACACTAGTTAGGATTTTTAAGAATATAGAATAATAAGCTAGAGTTGTCTCACATGTATCATATTTTAAATTTGACGCTTTTGTGTTTTGAAGAGGAGGGAAAATCGAAGACATTCAGAAACAACCTTGGAGATCCGCACCCTAACATTTGGCACCCAACGAGGTAAAGGGGAGTGAGAACTTCACTTTGAGGTGAGTTACTTGAGGAGTTTAGGGATTGACCCCAATCTCCTCTTGTTATGTATGATGTATGAGAGGGAAACCCCAAACCATAAATTTAACTATGAATATGTATTGTATGTTGTGCTTATATGCTCTAGGTATGATATATAATAAGTATTCATGTTTATAATCTATACTAGTGCGTGTAAATGTGAAGCTATGAAAGCTTATATGTTCACCAAAGAATCTTAAGGATGGAATAAACTAAATTAATATAAGTATTGAATGGGTAGGCACCCAACGAGGTAAGGGGGAGTGAGAACTTCACTTTGAAGTGAGTTATTTGAGGAGTTTAAGGATTGACCCCAATCTCGTCTTGTTATGCATGATGTATGAGAGGGAAACCCCAAACCATAAATTTAACAATGAATATGTATTGTATGTTGTGTTTATATGCTCTAGGTATGATATACAATAAGTATTCATGTTTATAATCTATACTAGTGCGTGTAAATGTGAAGCTATGAAAGCTTATAGGTTGACCAAAGAATCTTAAGGATGGAATAAATTAAATTAATAGAAGTATTGAATGGGTAGGCAAATTGTTAGATGTATAACCGTTTATTAGCGTGAGATGAGTAATTTATTGAGTTGTTTGAGGTTGTGTAAATTCATGATTTGCTACATAAAAGCGTTTGTACTGATGCAACACTAGGCACCATGTGTGGCCACTAGCAGCTTCACTCCATGATACTTCACATGATGACACTTCACACAACTTCTCGTTGGTCAAAAATCTTCACCCGTTAGAATCTTTGTGGGTAGACCTTTCTAATATGTTTGTCTGCCTCTAGGATCAACAACTAACCCCACAAACCAACAAGACTTTTCAGCATGTTTTGTCCTCACTAACACACTTTCTGAAAAAATTTCCAAAGGATCACCCATCTCTAAATTTCTTCAAGCTAAGCATGCTTAACTGTGAAGTTCTTTTATAATAAGCTACCAAAAAGTAGATGCATCTTGTTGGCACAGGTAGTATAAATTAATTCCTTTAAGTCATCTTCAATTATACAATGTCATACTTGTACAATCTCTGGATCACTCTCATTTCAGCGTGTCCAGGCTATTACATCGTGCATGAGAGCCACATAGTGCTCTTTGTGATGTTGGCTACAAGCATGAAAGAGTTCGCACCAAACGTGAGAACTATAGTGGTTTCTTACCGTAAATTCATTTACCGTGGGAGGGTTATGTCAGGCATGACCCTTCTAGAGAGTAAGGTTTGTTCTCTATTTGGAATATGTTGAGCGTCACCTTGTTCTTGCATATGTATTGCATTGTAATTATTTTATGAATTATGTAGGTATGAAGTGATCATTAGATGAATGTATATTTGTTGTGAGAATCTAGTTGTGTGATTAATCTATTGATGATGTGATAGAACATGTGATAAGTAGTGTGTGGACCATGTGATGGTCATACGAATGTATCATCATCATAACTCATTCATAAATATCCCCTCTCATGCTTGTTATTTCTTAACCATTATTATAAGTTTGTCAAACTATCTCCAAGATTAAACATTTGGGTAAAGTAACTCACCATTACAACTCTTAAATTGTCTCTTCTTATCTTAAGTTCCTACGACATTGTGGTGTCTAAACACAATATATAGAGTTATATGTGACACCCTCTACCCCAACATTAATACGCAATAAATGTAAACAATATATTTATTTTCTTTTTGAGCAGATAAAATCATTCATAGTGACAACATCTTTCATGGATAAAATAATTGTCTCAAATATCATAAGGTAGAAGATTTACATTCGTAACTCATAAATCATAGAAAGTCAACATGTAAGTATCAAAACTCAAGAAGTCATATAAAAGAAACTATAGAATTAATTCCAGCAAAAGGTGGCAGTGCCTCCTAGTTAGAAATTAATTTATAACTTACAAATCATGTAATAAAAATATTATGAGAAAGATGTACATTTTAGTCTTTTATCAAGAACTTCAAAATTACAAAAGAAGAGAAAATTAAAACTTTTAAAACAATAATATCCCAAACTAACCCTAGCTATGCCCGATGTCACATCCTATCAGAGCATGCCCAACTGAAGCCTTAAGCCTCATCACCAACATCCTCATGATGCTGATCACCTGCATCATAATTTAAACATATACAAGAACAAGAGAGTGAGAAACATCTCACTCAGTTTCAGGTGTAGAAATAAAGGTTAGATAGCACACACACACAACAAATATAAGTCACATGTAAATAATACACATACATAATCAATATCACATATACACTCATTTATCATGCAATGATGTCATGGACTCGACTCATAAATGCATGCATGTGGCGCCATAGGAAGTTTCACAATTCATCATCACCGGTGACCCTAAGGCACACCTGGTTACATCACTAGTGACCCTAAGGTACACCTTGTTAGCATGTTATATCACCCGTGACCCTAAGGTACACCTTGTTAGCATGTTACATCACCGGTGACCCTAAGGTACACCTTGTTAGCATCACTGGTATGCGGCCTCAGCGGCACACCTGGAGTAATATATGCATATGATGCATGTCATACATTCCTAATTTCATTGACTCAACATTTAACTTATTACAGAATTTCATTTAGTACATCATGTCATTATTTTTCATAGTCTCATAATCACAGCTTGTCTCAAAAGTCCATTCTTAGGTCTCATGTCATTTGTCCATATTCATATGGTCATGTCATAAATACTCCTCATAAGGTCCGCACAGGAATTCACAGAGATCCACAGAAAGCATTCTTATTCATATTAAAACTCATTTATTTTTAATATTAATTTCATATTCATTATTACTTCCAACAAGGAACAAAGTAAAGCAAATAGAAAGTAAAATAGAACAACAGACAAGGGATTGGGGGTCAATCCGACAATCAAACTATCAAACAATTATCCCCACACCCCCAAGCGAGGTTTCTCACTCCCCCTTACCTGGATAAGCAGGAGTTGAAACTTGGGCAGGACCTCCTCCTCTGGATTCCCTCTTTCTTTCCCTCTCTTTCTTTCTCTCTCTCTCTCTCTCTTTCTCTCTCTCTCTCTCTCTCTCTCTCTCTCTCTCTCTCTCTCTCTCTCTTTCTTTCTTTCTTTCTTTATTTCTTTCTTTCTCTAAAATTTTTCACCCTTCTTAGTTATAATTTTTCACCCCCCATGCCTCCTATTTATAGGCATCCTGGTTTACCCGGAACGGCCGGTACTGAATTCGGAACGGCCCGTTCCGGATCCTTCGAATATAGGCAAAA